TATATATATATATATATATATATATATCCTTAACTGAAAAGATTCATGGCTTATAATCTCTGCGTCGTCCTGTCCCCCTCCAAGTTTAGACCCATTTTAATTCATTGAAATTCATCAGCAATGAGAAGATAAATGTAAAGGGTTGTTTAAAAGTCTAATCTACATTGAATAAAAGAATGTTAGAAAAGGAAAAGGTTTCATTTGCCTGTTATTCCGATCCTTTATCAGCAATCCATCTAATATATATATATATACGTTAAGGATGTAACGTTTGATAAGTTAGAGTCTGTGGAATAGTAAATAGAAACTTTGGAAGTCTGTTAGAATTTTGTTAAGATGTAGTCCTTCTGTATGCAAAATTTTAACAAGCACTAGTCTTGAAATCGTGTTTAGAGCTTCGAAGTTTAGTGTCATACCCTTTTTGTTAAAGCAAGCTGCTAATTTCATTAGTTTAATTCTACTTTAGCCATTTTGATGTAATGTCATAATGCTTGAGGAAAGCTAAGAAAAGTTAAAAATAGTACATTTGTTTTGAATTATTTTATGTTGGTGAAATCTATTCAACGTGAAATGAATGTATTTCCATTTTATGAGTTTAAAGAATACTAAATTTGCTGCTCAAGACTCTTAGAGTCTGTTTATGTTTCACAGCCTTACATTGAAAATCCAACTATGTATGGAAATCTTGCAACATTATTTTTTATTATATCGTTGGCAATTCCAGATGTCAGACATGACGGGTTTCACTAACGGTCAGTCACCGGAAGCCAAAGACCAGGTGCGTACTGAGTGCTCGTCTCTCAATTCCAACAGTACTCATGACAAATCGACTCATCTGACCAGTACCTTTTTGTTTCTATTGCCAATTTGTAGTGCGTTTTATTTCTTCCATAAGAATAAAGATTAGCCTTACGAAAACTAAACTTTATAGATCTGTCTGGCCCTGAAAAATCTGATCTTCCGAAACCACTGAAGAAAATTTCATCGCTCGTCGTACGTTCTGTGGTGAGTTCATTTCACAAACTTTTGGTGTTGATCATGTACCGCAGTTTTAAATCCAGTACTCAGTTGTTTTTTTAAAAGGACATGGCTTCTGATATGATCTCTGACAACGAGTTAATCTCGTTATACGAAAAACGCGCAACGTTGTCATCTGATAAATACGAAAGCATCTTGAAAAAGGCAGTTGCACTGCTGAAAGATAAATCACGTATCGAGGTTAATTCAATAGATAGATGCTTTATATTATCACAGGATTATTTGACATTTTTTAGTGCTAGTTTTCAGTAATTCAGAAAAAAAATTGTTTTTGATGAGTGCATTCAAGAAAATAGTATCAGAGTGCTGATTGAACAGTGTGTGATATAATTTAAAGGAAGAAGCCAAACGACTTCGTGCTAGTAATGAATCGTTGCAGCAGATGAATAAAGATATCAGAGAAAAAAGTGTTCGCTTGGTTTGTTTTTTATATTTTTCTCATTTTAATTGACTTTAATGTCATAAAATACAGTTTGTGCTTAGTACTACTTTATTTCAGCATGCAAAAGCGGAACAGGAAGAAGAGTATATATCCAACATGTTATTAAAACGTATCCAGAAGTTGAAGAACGATAAAGAAGCTTTAGCATTGAAGTACGAACAGGAAGAGGAGTTTCTTACAAATGATTTGAGTCGGAAATTATCTCAGGTTAGCTTTCATTTGTGATACGGAGTTTCACAATTCTAGGTTTACCTTTACTGCATTTATTTCGAAGCAGGAATGCACATTTCGCACAACATTGATTTCATCACACACTTGTAGTAAGAGCCTTCATGCACTGTGATGCATCGACTGTACAGCTCTTTATTTGACAAGAACTTTATACATAAAGATACTTGTACAAAAGTTTCTCCTTATTCTGTGAGTTCTTATTCAGTGGATTACTTTAGATATTTCAGAAAGCGAAAAATAAAAATCAGGTGGAGAACAAGGCTTATCATAATTCTACAGATATTTAATTTACACAATCAGTGAAAAAGACATGAAAATATCAATTTATACACACTTAATCATAGAAGATAATGATAGCAGTGCAGAATGTCGCTGGAATTAATTTATTTTTGATGGTACAAAGCGCTGGTAATATCAGTCATAAAATGTTACATTTTGAAGTCACAGAAGTACATTTTATTCGTTTTAAGTCCTATTAATGACTGCTGAATAGACTGATATGAATTTCAGCTTCAAAATGAACGGGACGAGTTAGCTGGGCAAATAGAGGCGGAGCAAAGTTGGGTTGTGGATACGTTGCTGGTGAAGATACGAAAGTTGGAAGCGGAAATTAGTGCGAATCATCTTGTAAGTTCCCAAAACTAATATTTCTCATTATTTTAATATTTTTACAAAACTGGTTCTAAAAATGATTTTAAAGGCACTTGAGCAGTTACGTCGAGAAAAGGTAGATCTCGAAAACGCACTCGAGCATGAGCAAGAATCTTTATTCAACACCCTTGGTAAGCGAATGGATCAACTGGAAGCTGAAAAAAGGTAATTCTATTTTCGTGCTCAGTCAGCATTAATAAAAGTTCAAATGTTGGACAATATTAATAAAAAAATATATGTTAGTGAAAACATTGAACACTCTTTCCAGACGTATGCAGGCTCGTATAGATCAAGCTAGTTTATCAGAAACTCATTCGGCAGCTACAGCAAGCGAGTTGTCTGCTCACGAGTTTGTTACATATATTAACATCCGAGTTTTCGCTTTTATATCAACTAAAGCTTTTAAGACTGAAGATATTTCGTAGAGTTTTTTGTAATGATTTTTTTAAAAGAATGAATGAGATTGGAGAACGTCGTTCCTCAAGAGCGGAGACGGAATCTCGTAAATTGCGAGAAGAATGCAGTCGTCTTCGTGTTGTTGTTATGAATTTGAAGAATACTGTCAGTAATTTACAAGAACGAGTAAGGAATCAAGAAACAAAATGTTTGTCTTAGAGTGTTCTCTATTCACACTACTTCATTCATGGCAAATTGTCACTCTAACAAATTATGAAGAAAACTTGTAATCGGTGATGAATAGTTTATTAATGTTTGAGATGTCGCGGATTTACTGGCCATTCGAGAGAAGTCTGCTGGGATGCGTGCTGACAATCGTCGTGTACGTGTTGCTTTGGAAACAGATCTAGCTCGTTGTCTTGAAACATGCCGGTGAGGATGTTGTTAAATGTTTTTATTAAAGTTTGAGATTTATTTTCATTATTTGACATTAGTAGATGGGAAGCATGTTTTTTATACCAGTAAAGCGGCTCTTTTACATTTTTTGATTTTGGTTTAGAAAATAAAATTACCATAAATGGTAAGTTTTTTTTTCTGCTTAACTGATGTGCATTTCTGACCCTTTAATCTCTTGCAGTGCATTTACTGCATCGGAAATGGTACGGGAAAACGATGAAGATAATTGCATGGCAGCACTTCTCAGTCGGATGTCAGTTCCGAAGAGTATAACGCCAACACCTATCTTCAATCCCAACTGTAAGCTATTTATTTATGGTGAGAACTCATGCGTGCGAATGGTAGTAGTAGAGAAAAATTTAAGGGCAAGAGATACATAGAATTAGCGATTACCGGTGAGCAAAACTAGTTTCTTCAAAATATTTCAACGTTGACTTTGTTTATAGCCGGTGTCATCAGTACGGATACCTCTAGTTCTGTTTCCTGGTCTGCAGAGCGTGCGCCTCCTGCGCGCATAGAATTGCAAGGTATGATTAATATTAATGGCATACGCAGAAATAGCAGTTGCTACTCGCATATGAGAAATTTATAAAAAATTTTGTACATTCATAGGATAATTTCAGGTGATAAAATGGACGAGGGTCCGGAAATTCCAGATGGTGATGGGGATGGTGATGGTAATGGTGATGGTGATGGTGATGGTGATATTAATATGGATGCAGATTTCTGTGAAAGAAAACGCCGTACTCTTCGAATTGGTAGTTTATTTCTAATTATGGTTTGAAAATGTCTGCATTTTGATATGCTTTTAAATTATTGAAGATAACAACAAAATTTTCAATGAAAAAGTGGATAGTGAGACATCAGTTTTTCCAGATTCGATTTCACCAGCATCAGATGATTCGGTTCGTTTTGAAAATTAATTTAAATATTGGATATGTCAAATTCATTTTTGAAGTGTGCAGTATAAATTTGAGTTCAGAAGATAGAGGATTTGTAATCTTTCTTAGCATTGATATGCTGGAAAAGATGTTTATTGTCCTTTTTTTTATTCACTGTTTTAAGAATGTGTCATTATAGAATGATGTAATGGAAATCGCTAATGCTGGTGGCAATCAGTTTGTTCGTCCGACCTTGCCTCCAGCTCGTTCGCCAGTCTTGAAAAGAAACTTTTGATTATGACGGACTAAAATCTTTTCATACTTGATATTATCCATAATTTTGATGCATTATGTTCATACATAACATTAGCAACGATTAGTTTATCCTGCTCAATAAACTTTTCATCTTTAGTTGTGTGGTATATATTTGTTTTCCTAATTATTGACTGTCTTAATTGAAGCTCTAGATAACTGCAGTAACCGAAGCTTGTTTTTATAGAATTGGTTGAGATCCTTTTATTTCTCCAGAATCTTTGTATCAAGAATGGTTTGGGCGTCTCACTTTAACAGTTTACAAGTCTCATGCTTTTTTTCCGTTCGCTTGACCATTTTCACCATAAAACTATTTTGTCTCCTTTTACATTGGGAAGTCAGATTGATAGTAAGTGCAGGGTTCGAAGAAGTATGACTAGGCGTATTTTTAACTAATCAAAGGCTAATCAGGTAGTGTCATTGGGTTTGAAGTAATGGGATCCCCACTTTTCGTCTACGTTCTTACTTTTTTTATTGTTAAGTGGTGAACTGTGTTGGTGGAGCTTGTTTGTATTTTGTATAGTAGTTCTTAGTCATTTTTTCAAAGATGCAGTTTTGTATTCCCTGTTCCTCAAAATGGTTTATGTGGGGTATGGGTTGGCTTAATCTGATAATTAGTAAACTTAGTTTCGATTACTGGAAAACAAAGAATTAAATTCATGTTAATATATAACTTAGCATTGTGCTCTTGATATTTTGCGTGGAAAAGGTTTCCTAATTATTTTAATTATTTTTGCATGTAGTCATTGCGTATCTTCATGTCATCATCACATTTCCGTTATCTCAATGCTGGCATTACTTTTTATTTTCCTCATTGTTTGCAAATAATTTATGAATTTGCCTTTGTTTCTTTCGTTTAAGTTCTCAGTTTGGTTAGATTAAGTTTAATTTTTGCTAGCAATTTGACCTTTGTCTTACTTATGGCATCTCTTTTGACCTTGTATTTCTGCGCACTTGACATTGATATAAATGCCGTATCCTAGAGACAGATGATATGCATGTTACATGTATAGGAGGATTCATTTCTGATCACTTCAGTAGCAGGTGAGTACAAATTAAAGAACAAATGATTTCAAACTACCAAGTAATTGTGACTTGCTCAGAATGAACGGAAGGATATCAGTGGGAAAATTGCAATTTAGTTATCTTAGTGATGAGTGGTGCGTTCTTCATTAAGAAATTGAGATAGGGATTTGCCATTTACATTATTCGCCTGCCACATATTGTGTATAATTTGTTCATACATTTTCATATGAGACATATCTACGCTCAATCTCTACATTAATGTCGTCTATGATAGTCCAAATTTTGTTAACCTTTAATTTGTTAAATCCATTTGACATTTTAAAATCTAAAATATTAAGTTTTTCCCCCTTGTTAGATGTTCATAAAGTTTTTAGCAAGAAAGGAACATGAAATCTTCTACCAGATTTCAACGTATTTAAAACACAGTAGCCTCCATGCTCTAATTTCTACTAACTGAAGTCTTTTTCAGATTTTAAATTACTTCTAGCAGATGATATGAGTTTTATTGCCTCAGCTACCAGAAAGTACATGCGAGAAAACAATTATAGACAGATTCCGTAATATGCATTTCAAAAATTTAAATGACTTAAGATGCTTTCAGAAGATAATGTGCCTCAAGTTGAATGCTTTCCGTACAGTATAGAGTTTTACACGTTAGCTAGAAATAGTAATTTAGTTTCTCAAAATAATTAGTATTTATTTCCAATATTTCAAGTATTAATGATAAAGGAAATGTCTCATAATCCATCAACAAATTGAGTTTTCAAGCAGCGTACTACGAATATCAAGAGGATAGTTATTTCGATAAGCAAAATTTTGAAGTGTTACTGCACTGTTATTTAGAACAGTTATTACTTTGCTACTCTTTACAGGATATTATTGAATACAGTGTAATCAAAATTTTTGACATGCGACAGGATGAAATGCTTAGAATTTAGAAAAAAGTCAAAATTTACAGGGTAATAATTTATGGATGCCATCAGTTAAATTACATTATAAGAAAAGTCGAAGTGCACTACTGATGTTTTCTCGTCGATATCAATGGGAAATGCTCATGATGTGTAGCTCTGCAAGCTATTGGAAATTCTGGATTTCACATTCGCTTGCTCTTGTTGTAGGTGTGCATAGGCTGATAGACTTACTTCTTAAGGCATTCGCTAAAATGCAATTTCATCTCGTCGCGTATTTCTATGTTGTGGCTAGAATTGATGAATATATAGTATAGCGCTTGAACACTTCAAGTACAATTTTTATTCCTTCTCCCTAAATGTATATATCGTCAGTAAATGAAATTTCAACTGAATTTTTACTGCATTCTCAAATTTTAGATTGAAATAACGAGGAAAAGAGACCGAAAGAATGTGATTAACTAATTGCCAGATCATTATTATAGAATGACACGATAAATAAGTAAGGGGAAATTCTGTACTAAATTTCATTACAATAATGAATTTATTAAAATTAAGATGCCACTTATGTTGTATCCGAGAAATTGTAAAACAATAGTAAATGTGCTGAAAGGCAAACTGAAATTATTATTACTTCGTTAGTCTTTTTTCACTGACCTCTTTCAAAAAGATAGCTTTTTTTGAACTTCATGTTGACGAATAAATGAACTCGGCAGATGCACTCGACTATAGCAGGAGAGATATTTTTCCCGAAGAACGTTAAAAAAAATATGGTTATAGAGTTATTTGTAACGAAAATTGGGGTAAGTCAAGCAGGAGTGAAACATTTGAATCTTTACACTAATACACTGAAAATAAAGGATTAGAGCTGAAATAGTGAAAGCTACAGTTCTTGAACAATACCAAGAATACACTTTCGCTACTTTCTTAAATTCCTGAATGTACGATATTTTATATGTCGTTCAAGAACATAGTTTATATTTGAAATTCAACATGATCAGTCTAAAACTTGATATATTTCATTCTTCCTTGTTAATTTAGCTTACCAGTTGTTTTACGTATTATATTTCAAAGAAATTAGCAAAGAAGTCTGTTATGCTTCACAAATATCAGTGCACTTACCATGGATATTCACAGAACAATAAAAGACTTGCACTTTTAAATCCGTATGTATACGTTGTAAGATAATTAGAAATAAAGTGACCAACAAGCTCACCTTTAACAGCAAATCAAATATATTATAACTTAGCTATGTTGGTCTTACAAAGTAATGGTAATTTAATGTTTTCTTTAAATCTAGAAAATTACAGGTTGAAAAAAACCTATAAGCTGGAAAAACCCCGTAGTTAAAATTGAGCTTTATGTATAAGTCCGTAAAATTTAAGTTAAAACGTTCGTAGATGTTACGTAAAACCATAAATGCCAATGAGCCCCAAAATAATTGATTAAAATTTGTGTAAACTTGCAATGAAATAAAGTAAACTTTACTCATAAGTTGTTGTTAGATTTTGTTATCATTGCCACAAGCAATTGCCTCTTACGTCAAACAGTCTATTTTATGAAAATCTTTTAAGTGACATATATGGTTACACCCGTTGAATCTTATTTTGCTTTCGTTACATCCTTTGCCATCTCTTCGCTCATTTTCGTTTCCGCTGTTCCGTTTTCTGAAGAGGAAGGAAAAGGACGAGCTACCCAGTTCTCATTATTATTACCTTTTGATAGCACTCATGAACTTATCATCTGTTTGTTATTCCATAATTTTCGAATCCAAGCACAATGTTTTCAGGTCTTACTGCTGTTGCGGAATGCCTGTTCATCATCGCTTATCATCTGCTTCAGTTACATGCGGATGAAGAGTTTACGCTCCACTCAGCTACAACTAATGGTATTCCCTTTCTCAAACTTTCTTTTCACATCAGTCAAACATGAATTCCACTAATATTTAGCATTAATAATTACCGAATAATTTAGCGACGGTATCTACCTGATAATAATGCAAAGCTCTATCTAATGTCAACCAACCCTGAACGTTTACTTGGTAGAAGAGTTCAGACTTTCAATTAATACTATTTAATGAAAATATCTTTCTGACCTGTCCAAAATCAGGCCAATCCATTATAGTTTGAAATAAAATCAATAGACGGAATTATTTCATCGCTTTTAAAATTAGCCAATTCGAATACACTAATTAGTATAATATTCGAATTTAGCTAAAAAATACCAAACCTTGCACCAATATTGCATAAGCTATACCCCTGAAATTGGAGGCTGTCGATGCTTCATGGGCATGTTGCTCTTGCAAAATTTGTACGATGCCAAGATATTTAATGATTTCCAGAGGTTGGAGATACACCTATTCAAGTTGAGAAATTTCGAAATACACGAATACGATCATTGTCAAATGGATGCATTTGTTGCAGAGCTTTTTTCTGCTCGCACCAACCATGTCCTTGTTCGAGGTTCATAATCTAAGTACTAGCAATTAATTTCACACGTATCGTTGAATGAAAAGTTCCTCACAAATATAATGTTACATCCATAAGCCAAACCTGGCCACCGATTACCCCAAATAAGAAACTCAAAAACAGTAAAAAAGCTCACAGCATTACAAAAATTAACTCGATTCCTTACTACTATTTGTTACATTTATTTTCATAGAATAATGCTTTAACATGAAAAGTGCATAATTTTTAAGGACTTTAACGTTAGCATATTATTAGGTTCCTATAAATGTGTTACAGTAGCATCAAAATGACGCCTTTATGATTTATCCACAAAATCAAGCTTAAATATAAAATTGAGTAATGAAAAACATAATCAAACACTGACAGAAAAATCGAAGATATTCATCATAATTTCCGTGACGTCATCATTTGATGGAACCATTTTTTGACAGATTAAATATTTCAAACATTAGTTTCGACAGTGAAAATACATAAACAAAAAGGAAACAGATTTCCACGGAAATGAGACTTTTTTCTCTAAGGGAGACAAAAAATAATGAAAAGGGAAACAAAAAAAAAACATGGGAAGGTTAAAGAGATTTTCGCTTCAATAAGATCAGTAATCCTTTTCTGAAAAGATACTATCTCTACAGAGTTATATAATACAAAACACTTGCATTATGAGAAGTGAAACACTATGTACCCATATTTGATTAAAAAAATAGCAATCAAAAGGACCTACGTCCTACAATTCACGAAGTCAATTAAAGCAAAAAATAAAAAAAAGCTGATCGCATTATTCATCTGTCTTTGCATTAGCATGTTTGCTTGCATCGAAGAAGCTACGGAAATTCAGAAAGTGCCACATTTCCAGAGGAAATTCTGTTCGTGCTTCCATACTACTAAATTGTGTTTTGCCACACAGTGAAGCCCACTGGATGTTACCGTTCCTGTTTTTCACAAGTACAGACTTTTCCTAAAAGTCTCCATTTATAAATTATACAAAATAAAAACACTGATGCTTAGTTTCTAAAACCAAATTCTGTCATCAGTCCAATTTTCTATTCTAGTAATCAGTAAAAAAGTGCTACAAGCAAAAAAACTTCCCATATTTTTTTCCTTTAAGTGATCTGTTTCCTGTGATAGATGAAAAACACGAAGATTAGTACGCATAATACGAGTGAAAAATCCTGGAAGGTAATGTGTTCTATTAAACAACGATAGTGGAGAATCTAGCATTCCAAAAATAAGCTGTTTAATCAAACGACAATCCAAGAGTCCACGTAAATGCTCCAGTGGAGCATTAATACTCCTAAAAATAATGATAAATACACTGCTCTATCACACTGAACGATTGGAAACCCACATGCTTTGATAAAATGTTATTGAGATGTCACAGCTTTTCTATAGTAATAAAATAAACCTTCAACAAGAGAAAAGATCCACTATTAAACAAATAACTCACTTTTTCAAAACGAAAATATCCCGACGATTGCGAAGTAATCGATAATCTTTCCAGTAGCCTACTTCGAAATCGCTTTGTTTTTTTGTACTGATGTCAAAAAACCCACTGGAAATTTGATATATGCTTTTTGCACTTGAAATTTTAGATTAAAATTCCTAAAGAACCTACAACTTACATAACAAAAAACGTTTCTTGTGGTCGCTTCAGATCTATGCTTTCGCATTTCTTATTTAATAATTCCTCTTCCGAACCTTCATTGAAATCAAACATTGCTTCTTCACAATTCAAACCATAATTTATTGTGCGGTTGTGCATGATTTTTTCATTATCAATTAATTCTATAATATCTATATAAATGTACAGTACGAAAGTGAAAATCTTCATAATAATAAGAAACAAATTAAATTGTTCCATATGAAGCAAAGATGCATCTACTGCTACCAAAAACTTTACTACCTTGCTCATATTCTAATGTTAATGGTAAATAAGATGGAAGAAAAAAATCTTGTCTTCCTTGCCGAGCAATAATTCCCATTAAGTAAATGCATACAAAAATTACTGTTAATGCGAATGATTTAGGTTTAAAGATGCAGAAAAATTGAAGAAAGTTTAAGGAATACACAAACCGTCATCCACAAATTCTGGCAAATGCTTCAGTGATTCAATTATCGCATCATCAAGTTTCTTATCAGTTAAGTTGACTGAAAAGTCAAGCGCATTTTGTTCCTCCATCCATGGTGTTAACAGAATATCTTTTTCTTCATTCTGAATTCTTATAAGAATGTAACTTAAATTTAATATGAGAAACCTTTTTTCACCTCTCGCAAAACAAAATATTCACATGCATCGATTATAAATCATCTATCCAGTGGCTTACATGAGTTACTATTATTGCGTTAGCGGGTTTTGAGACTTCATAAAATGTAAATATAGATTAAGGGACAAAGAAAGCATTAACCATATTCGAGTCATCTGGCATTTGGTTCCATTCTTCGACAGTGTACTGAGCATCTAACAGTGAACCGATTGTTGGAGCCTGAATTGAACCACTGTTAAATTATACTTGAATATTTGACTACACTACTTAAAAACATTCCGTAAAAAACAAAAAAAAAATATGTATATATATTTATTTATTTATATTTATATTTTTAAATTTCATTATATCATGTGCGGCAGATCGGAGGTTAATCACTTTTTTGTATTTTTGATTCTCGCGTTAGATCGTATTTCGGCAATCTCGTTATACTTGCCCGACACTCAATCCTGCTGGTCACACTGGCCGAGTGCTTTTTCATATCCTTCATGGAGCTTATTTTAACACCTGTTTTCCACTCGTTTTATGATTCAGTTTTTTATCGTTTACCTTCCATTTCCTACTTTGTGTACCGACTGATATTGCAAGGCAGCTCCAGGTAGCACAACAATGTTATGAAGACATGACGAGGCGAGAGAACTAGTCATCGGGGTGGAAAGCAAGCATAGAAAAGAAGATAAGCTTGTTGAATATCCACAAATCCCTCATAGAACGGATTCTCGCCGGTGAAAAAGCTGGAGGTAAAGACCTAAAAGACATCAAGTGCAAGAAGAAGATGAATCTCATACCAGCTCTTAAGCGTGACTGTCATGAAGCGTTAAGCACATTGACAAACCTGATTATGTACATTGAAAGGTTTAACATGCCATCATGGATCGGTAAGTTCCTGAGAAGCATCAAATTTAGATGGGCAGTAGTATTGAAAAAATGGAGAAACTATAATACAGAAGAAAGTAAAACGACAAATTCTCCAAGGTTATAGCCTTTATCCGCTGCTATCAGTCCTATGCATGAACCGCTGATATGTCAATATAAGGTACCCAAAGGTGGGAATTCCAATTAATCAAGCACATAACGAATCATTTGTTGTTTGTGGACGATCTCAAGATCTTTACAACTGACAAGAATATCATGAATACAGCTGAAGAAGTTGAAAGGTTTCCTCATGTGGTAGGACTAGAAGTGAATCCAGCAAAGTCAGCCACTACTGCCCATCTAAATTTGTGCTGATAAAAGCGGCGCTATTGGAAGGAACTCAAGGGTATGAATACCTTGGGATAGTGGAAGAGAAGATTAGTGCACCTAACCGTGAAAGCTACGATAAAATCCGAGCACAGATTTTAGTGAGAATTGAGCAACTAGTCAAAACTGCACCAAATGGAAAGAACGTTATCAAGGCAGCACACCATAAGCTTAATGAACTATTCCGTCGGGCTGCTCAGGCAAGAAGATTTCAAGGCTATGGACCACGATATCAGACAGTAACTAAGTGAATACGGAATTCGCAAGCAACCTACATGCTTGAGAAGACTGTACCTGCCAAGGAACGAGCCAGAACGTGGACTTCATAATGCTCAGCAGAAGAATGAGCTTATGCTTTTCCAGCTACACAATTTCCTTATAGATACCGCGCCCATATGTATCAGGAGAGCAGCGATTTTGAAGCAGGAAAAGGCTCACAACACGTAGTTAGCAGTTATTGTGCCCTACCTTCAGACTATATACAACCTCGTAGAAAATCCAATCGTCGAAAGCGTATTGGTAACTCAGAAAGCACTCCTGTATAGCGAAATAGAGAAGAAAACTTGATATGCAAAGCTATACAAGATGCGGATGAATAAAATCTCCTCCATAGCTGATTCATCAATATGGCTACGATACGGAAACACTACCGCGCAATATGAAGCACAATACTGTTATCTCCAAAATAGAAATATGTTTGGAGCTCAAAAAGGTATGTGCCAAAATATTAAGGAACGTATGAAGACGTTAGACCATCTAGCAACGTAGAGCCAGAAAATGTTATATCACGACTACACTAGAAGATACAATGAGATCCTATGATGCACCCATTTAGGATCTTCCAATTCTGTTCAGCAAGTCGTCGCAAATCAGAAAGTAGAAATTAAATTAGAATCGATACACGAATAAGATCAGCTAAAACGATAAGAGCAGATCGACCAGATATCATGATCCACGATAAGAACTAACGTGAAATAATCCTGATAGAAGTTGGCATTCATCAATCAGGACAAGTTGGCGGCAACTGAGACCGAGCAAAAGCGAAAATATGACCTATCTGCTAATAAGCTTGGGTCAGAGATGAAATGTAGGGCCGAAATAATTCCGTATGTGATGATGATTCGAGATGAGATTGTGATGAACTTCCACAAACGCTATGCAAGGGAAACCTGTATATCTGATCGTGTCGAGACATAGATTCAATCAATAGTTCTCAAGAAGATGCTCGAGAGCATCTCCTTCGACAATCGATATGGATTCCACGAGGACGAAGCGAAAATGATGAGTACAACAAATCTGAGTGCGGGACAATTACAGCCACACATTATATATGTATAATATTTATGATCCAATGCCAGAATCAATAAAGCGGAGAAGATTAGTATTCATATTATATTGAATATATAACCTTAAAAGCGTTGTTTATAAAGTCAATATGGTCGTTATTCGATACACCATTTTCTTTAGCTTGCCGGCTTACAGTTTTACGTCCTCTTGTTTCAGATAATGGTATTGGTGCAGGAATGTTGCCTGAACGGCTATGTGAAGGACGGCTATTCAGATGCACGTTTTGAAGAAAATGAAGATTTTGAGCCCCATGTTCTTCACGACGAATAAGGCCCTGGAATGAATGCAGTTTCAAAAAATACTCATTTAGCTCTTGAAACATTCATCAACATAAAACAATAAATTGCAAACGACATAGCAGTCAATCCTAAAGTGAGACCTGTAATTGCCTGATATTCAAACCAGACGCTTCGCTGAAAGCAGCAACTTCGCGTGCAACTGCTTCAGCCACAGAATCAGAACTCAAAAATAAGGTACTGCCCAACGCGTTCTGAATAACCTGTAGAAGAAACATACACAAAAGAAAAAGAAAAATGATACTTTTGCACTTGATAAGTGAAAATAATATCCATAATGTCTAGTGAAGATAAAAATCAAAATTCAAATAACTTACCTGACCCTGTTGCGAACCAATTCCTGGAGGGGGAATGATATTTCCGTTCTAAAATGAAGAAAATTGAATTATTAAAACCAAAGTGATGAACATGTGAACTACTGAATTAAGTAACAAATATTTGTCTGCCTATAAATTGTGTCACATAAATATATATAACCACTGATGAAAAGAACTAAAGCTACTAAGTTTTCAAACACCAATATTGAATAAAAGTAATATAAAACTCTCGTATTTTATCGCACTACATGTATTAATCCTAAATATGTCTGACTCTACACTGCGTTTCATAGACAATATACACAGTGGAACCTAAACCAATGACTGTTCCAATAAGAATAGTTTTAATCAACGATGAAAAAAAAAACTGGAAAAACAAAAAAGTGAAAGTCAAAAAAGTAGATAATTCAAAAAGTAAACTACCTATTATTTCTACTAATGTGCAATTATGAACAATACAAAATCCTCAAAAAAATTCTCGAGCAGTTACCTCTTTGTCAGAACTTTAATTTGAAGCAAAGATGGAAAAGAATGTATCTCTACACAAAATAAACAATAAAAATGAACCAAATAGGCAGGATTGTTAGTTTGAGCGATACCACTATGCGTTACAGATGAGCGAATACTATGCGTTTGTCGCGAATCCAATCTTCGTAACGCTTCTACAGCACGATTTAAAGCTACTTCACCACGCGAAGCCGTCGAACGATCAGTCGTTATCATCGAAGGACTCAATGTCTCAACATGCGTAACTTTTTCCAAAAGTGCGACACGACACAAAATATGTGTAGAAAAATTATCTACTATAAACATGATTACACCACCGCATCAAATCAAGTTTCCGAGATAAGTACGACTGCTCTACTTATTGAGTGAAAAACACTTTTGTACCATTTAAATAATGTGCTGTAAAGATGCGCATAAGTGATTCAAAATATTATTGACACACCTGATGGACAACATCAATATTCCCTTGATTAGCACGCAACGTAGCTTCTACACGCAGATTTTCGCTGAAATGTGACATCCACCAATCACTGCGTTCATCGGCCCTTTCCTCAGCTCGAGTTAAGAAAACGCTTTTATTACGTTGCATATATGTGGATAAAAGTGGTCGACCGATCCTCATGACTGACTGAAGCGGTGGGTTTTCGTTGATATGTTCATCATTGTCTGAATCTTCGATGCTCAACGTGCGCAACTGTTTCGTCTCAGTTACAAGTTCTACTTTCGTTTTTTCCATTTTCAAAACCGGTAAACAAGATGGTTTGCATAAGGCTGTGAAAAGCGTGCAATATTTCAAAGACTTCTTATGTTCTGTGCGATCACTAGGTTCCAACTGTTTTTCTGGCTCGTCAGCAGGTTCAGTCACAGTTTCTAATTTATTCTTCACATCATCTTTATTACCGCTAGCATCATCCAAATCAACAGAAGTTGTTGGAACTACTGAAGAATTAGGTACAGATGAATTTGCATCATGATCCACAACAGAGCAAGCTGCAGCATTAATTCTAACAGTCTCAGTTACATTTTCAGCTTCAGCACTCTCCAAGTTTCTAAAACCTGGAGGAACTCCAAATGATGTCTCATTACTGGAATGGTTTCGTTCCCGTATTAGAAGTCGCCTAGCACGCCCTACTGGTCGATTACTAAATTCTCCAGTGGTGGTCTGGTTTCGTTGGGAACCATGAACTGAAAAATCCGATGTTTTGATATAATATGAAAAAACAGAATAGTAAATTGAATAGATTCTTAATGCAGATAAAGCAGTTACGAAGAGATAACTCACTAGGAACATTAGGACGTGAATATGCATTAAAAGGATATTGAAACGCTCGAACAGACAAACCATCTGTATTTGCTGAACTAGAATCATATGAAAATGATTGACCTTCAGCGATGAAATTTAGAAGTAAAGGACTACTTCCAGAATATCCCAGACCAGGAGTTTCCCTAGTTGAATGTTCAGAGTGCTGAAATAAAAATTTGAAATTCTACTGCCAAATGCACTTACGAATACAAATTCATCAGGATTGCGCAATCGCACAAGACAAATAATGATATGACTTTATTAAAAATTAAACAGTTTAAGTGGGCGAAAATTTACCAAAGATGGTCTAGATGCAGGTGCTCGAACAGATGTAAAGTCACTAGAAGAGTGAGCATGTGAAAAACTCGATACTGCTGAGGTGAAGCTAACAGGGAGAACACCAATAGGTCGTCCGGATATATATTCTCTGGATGACTGATTATCTCCATGGCTTGGTGGGAAATTTGCTACTTCTTGTGCAGTGTTATTTGCCTCTGTAGCTGAAAGACAGCATTTAATATTTATATGAGACCTAAATAACATGTATTCAGTTGTAAGTATAAATTAAATGTAAACCATTACAACTTTAAAATATATAAAAATATCTTAAATCATTTAACTATTAACACATCCATCATTTTGCAACAAGAACGTAGGATCAGTAAGCTCAGATGGGATTTACTTACATTACTACAGCATGTAATATCTAATGCAAGATAAAGGTAAGACTACAACTGCTCAATTCATATATTTTGCATACTTATAACTGTTTTTCACAAAAACTGAAGTTGTGAAGAAAAAATACTTGAATTTGTTTCCGCAGAATTTCTATCCATTGGCCTCTGACGAATGCGTGAAGCTATATCAATTCTTTGAGATGCGCCAAGCTGGATGTTCGTAGGAGTTTCACCAGTAGGTGCTTCCTCGGCATCAGAATCATTACTGATGACAGGCAAGTCATGTACGACAACACGTCTAAGTTCATGATCGCGCAAGAAATCTGATAATACTTGTGCAGTATTGGGCGTGCTGCTACTGCAAAAGAAAAAAGACAAAATTAGAAAACCATAACAGAAACCTGCGACAAGTTTGTTATCAAACGAAACAACATAAGATATATTTCACTAAAAATGAACAGCAATTTGACTAATTGAATGAATAGCTAAGAACACCATTTGTTATTTGATGAATTTCCTTGCTGTTCCTGCATATGATGTTCTTGCATGTGCGTAACCAGATCAGTTAAATGATTAGGCATGTAATCCCCAAACCCTATACGATAAAAATCGGTAGCAATACAGATGGGGCAAGCCTACAAGTGAATCTGTATTTATGATCTCAATAATAAACATGAATAAAATTTGAATACGCATTTAGAAGATGAAAATGAAATCAAACTCTTCCTTTTATAGAATTTTATATAAAGAATTAAAATTCGTAAGAAAGTAATTCGTGAAAATGGAACCATTTCAAAACGCTGTGATGAAGACTGAGATGAATTTGAATGAACATCAATAACATGTGAAATTAGACGTTCACGCGAGAAACCATGACGTCCACAAACTGGACAAGTAAAAATCACAACTCGTAAACGATCCCAATTATGGGCATGATCGCCTTGATATGTCAATTCTTAAAGAAAAGTTGGAGAACATATAGGTATAATGTTGAAAAAGGCACCAAGATGATATTCATATTTAATTAGGAAGAGAATTTGCTGGTAGGGAAAGTTAAGAAAATACCAAAATCTTGCTGAGTCATAATACACTGCATTGGATGAGATGGTGAATGTTCATCATTGGTTTCTCGTAAAGTACGAGTACCAGATGATTCAGCGGTCGTTACTTTTGAATCTTTTGGTGATGCAGCTGCAGTTTTTGACCGCTCCTTCATGTAACATCTTGAACACAAGTCGAAATCGTAACATCGAAGACATTTATAGCGATCTCCAGAGAAATTTGGTGCCATACAGCCATCACACGATACACCTCGAATTATTGCAATGAAAAAAGTACTGTGGAATTAGAAATGTATATTATTCAGATGATAATTTGAAATCTTGAAATGTTAAAAATAGGACTGTTTGGGCCCATTAATTTTTACCTTACAATAGTAAAATTTCGAAAATTATAGACGAGTCTTGATAAGTGCTCTGTGCGACAAATAACTCACAAAATGCTCACCAAATCTAAATAAAGCTACTTGAAATTTAACAACTTTACTGCGCGACTTTCATGAGAAGTGAAAATTTAACAACCCAGCTTTTATAATGATTATTACTTTTGAGGAAGAATTTATTTCATTCTGTAATCACTAATATGAACTACATAAATTGTGGCACTAAAGTTATGCAAAAAATAAATTTGCAAACATATTGGGTCACAAAGTAATATCAAATTTATATAAAGATAAAAAACACATTTTTTCACTCCTATAAAAATTTCTTAATTAAAAACAGCTTCAGATACACCTAGAATTATTGTAATGAAAAAAGTGTGAAGCATTAGAAATGTATATTATTTATATGATACTAATCAACACATGTCATGGCACTTTCCAGGAACTTTCTAACAAGAAACTATAAGGACGTGTTTTTGCGTCACAAGCGCATGTGTATACAGAATCATGCTTTTAAGCTGACAGATGTCAAAATTAATAGAAGATAAGATGGAAAACGCACCTTCATGTACAGAGCTCATTGGTCTACGTCTCTTCGCCGAGATATTTCTGACATTTCTTACGATTTGATACAACGAGAAATGAGCCCCCGCCCCTTGACTGCTAGTTCTGCGTTTCAAAGACTTTGCGGCTTTCTTTATCCTTGTTGTTTTCTTCATATTGCTCTACGAAATGTGTGCAAATTTCACACTGAATATTAAATATATGTGATTCCGCGTAATTTCTTGTAAAACTATTCGTTTATAAGAAATCAGTTCTGTTTTACATGTTAACTCAATCCTCAAATTTATATGGTAGGTATTTCTGCTATCTAAAGAGTTACCACGTTTTTTTGATTAACAGAAAAGAATTTCATACTGAAAGATCATTAACAAAAAAGGAGACTAATTTTTGTAAAGTTGACGACTAAATCTTTTTTTTACTTCTAAAATTTCCGACCAGTTCATCCAAACTAAAAGCACTAGCGTCAAACTCCATACTAATCAACTCATTTCACAATACTTTTTGATGTTAATGACGCTACAAAAACAACAAAAGCACTTTTACGTACTTCTCCATCTCTCAACGTAAGCACTCTCACGTACCTATAAAACCTGACCTCACTGAATCGAAATTCGCTCTCAAATACATAAATTTTTCATATGTCGGTTGAAAGAAAAAGAGAAGTCATACTGCATCTTTTTTTAGAAACGCTAGCTAAATTTTTCCCCCCCTGCTCTCTGAGATCTCAACAGTGCACTAATTTATTGATTAACAGATGCAGACAATTACAATTAAGTCCGTTACCTAAAATATTGTACTGCCTTTCACATTTGGTTTTCAAAAAAACATATACCAGATTAATCTAAATAAAGGTCACTCATTTCAAACCAAAATGAAAGAAATCAAGAACAAAATTTTGTACCACCAGGACTCCTGGCCCACTAGTTGACTGAATAAGTGATACTGATTGCATCATTTCCTTTTTTTTCTTTTACAATGAAATTTGCATATATACGGCTTGGTTCAGTGTGATGACAGAATGTGAATTTTGCATTAATTCGTTGGTTCCATCAAAAGATTTCTATATTCTACTCATAAAAATCTTTTCTGGAAGCTGCAGGATGAATTTAAATTTTTTATTCATAATCATATTACTGCTTTTGTGTGCAATTTCCTATTAACAAAACTCATCCTTTTTGTCTCCCATATATTTTTAGTACAGTCTCGACCAATCATTTGTTTGTGTTATTTACAAAAACGCTGGTAGTACTGACTGCATTGGCTAGATCAGGATAAGTTTTCATGTAGTGTAACATTTCTTATTTAGACAGAAGTATAATTGCTTGAAAAAGAAACAGTAGTAGTACAGCGATATCTGGCCGGTTAACTCTTGAACATAAACACCTAGGATAAGAGAGACCAAGAAATGCGTGAGCGAAATGGATCTCATACTTGCTCTCATACATGACTGTCATGAACCTTTAGGCATGCTGACAAAGCCTGAGAGAGTTTACGAAAATAAAATCAGAAGTTATGAGTCCCGCTGTGCATTCAAAATTCAAAAGTCAGATTTGAGCAGTTTAGAGGACGGTTCTTTATGGGATTTTAATCAGCTTGTCAGGTACAATGCAGGGAAAGAAGAAATCAGAGTTTTAGGATACGATGTGAGTTGGGAAAGGATAATAGCTACAACAAATATTTGAAGAATTTGTTCCAGAACATTAAGTGCATAATACTTCCTCTTAATTGACTGAATTCAGTCAATTAGACTGTTTCGTAAGTTGTCTAACAAAGCTGAACTTGAGATATTCGCCTACGTAGAGTGCAATAAACTTTCACGTAACAATCATTTTTAGCAATTTTAGTTTTCTTGTGTATAATAAACAACAGACATTACATCGTATTTTGTGACAAAAAAAGCGAGAACAACGGTACTGAAGTGAAACAGTAATTGATGCGCATGAAATCTGTACAATAAATGCAATACATGATTAAAGGTATAATGAAGCAAGCAAAGCATACTACTATAGTAGTGAAATAGAAGGGTTGACAAGAGCTTCCAATTGATAAAAAGAAAAAACTCTTACCTCACGATTGAATTTAGTGGTGTAAAATGAAAATTTATGCCGTTATTTATTTGCAAACATCTATCCAATAAGTCATATGAAACAAATTCAATATTATAATTTATAGGCGAATATTTCAAGCTTTGTTGGGCAACTTGCGAGAAAGGTCTGGCCAAGATTGAAATTGTCGTATTGTCTAAGCATCCCCAGTTATTCCTTGGATAATCTGCAGCCATTTTGCAGATGGACTTCGCATCTGAACCCAACATTATTGTGAGGACCTCAAACAAGGTAGACCCCACACTCAGTGCTGGGCTCAGCTCCATCCGTACTGCTGAGCAGAGTACGCTTAAAGTTGCTCTGCAGTTTAAAAAAGTCAACATTGGTAAACGAAATAGGATTTACTATAATTGCATGCTCTGAGAGTTATTTAGGACTGTGAAAAACTGTAATTAGAAAAATAAATGACGTTGCATGTATTCGATGTCGTTATTGGAATAAATGCAACAATAATGACATCGAATACATGCAACGTCATTTACGAAATCAATGCTACAAATCTGAAAGCTGAGTACTATCGAATAACTGAGTACAGTTATTCCCATTCAGAAGAGCACTAGAACAATCAAAAATGCGTCAAATTCGATGAAAAGTTCAACAATGTCTGTCATTAAAAAATGGTAACATCAAGATGGATCTGGCTAAAAAATGGTAAAATACAAAAGTGCTTTTTAGCGAAAAGTTTCAAAATCAATCTTAATCAAATAGGTAAACCAAAAAATTGATGTAATATAAAAAATACAAAAGCACTTCGCCATAAAATTACGAGATCAAAGTTGGTCAGTTGATAAAGGAAGTGAAAATGCCAGTAAAATACGTCATCCAGAGTACATGCAAGCACTGGCACACTGCAGCTGGATGGCGCTGCCCGATATTTATCCTTCATTAATTCGCTTCCCTCATTCTGGTTACAGAAGCATTCATGCACATTTTCTTTATTATTTCTGTCAGAAAAATCTATCTATGCAGCTAATAGCATTCATTCTAACATTCATTTTCTCTATGGATCTAATATTTCAAAATGGTTGGCAATTAATTCAAGAATGATGCACAAATTTGCTTCAAATCAGCACTGCACTACCGAGAATAAGATCTATTCACCACAATGTGCGAGCTTGCCTAGTAATATAGACACGAGTAATTTTTGAATGCAAAACCGACTCTTTCAATTCGACTGTTTACCCAAATGAAAATAATGTTAAGACGGTTGAATGCAAAGCATCTTCCAATATTTTGAATTTTATCATAAAAATGTAACGCAGTCCAGACTTTAATTTTGATGAAATTGAGAGAGAGGAAAAGTCGTAAGTAGACAGACACTCATTATTTCGCTTTTCTTTTAGATGACAGTTAAAAATGCTCTTCATATCAATTTTGCTTCTCCAAAGCCAAAAATTTTAAGGTGAGCAAATTACATTACAGTTATGCATGTTCTATTTCCCTTGAGACTGTACCCAAATTCGAGGACTGCACACCCATGCCGGACTATACACACACACACACGAGGGACTACACTCACATTTGAGGACTGCACACCCATGCCGGACTACACACATATACACACACGAGGGACTATACACAAATACACACACGAGGGACTATACACACATACACACAGGAGGGACTATACACACATACACACAGGAGGGACTATACTCACATTCGAGGACTGCACACCCATGCCGGATTGTACACACACACATACACACACACACGAGAGACTCTACTCACATT